GCCCGAGCGTCCGGCAGGTGGCAATGTTCGGTCAAACAGCAGCATGTCAACGTGGGCGGGGGCAAGTGACGTCAGAGTGTCGCCGCTTTGGCGCGATGTTCGGACAAATTTGAAAACTTACTGGATTTAGACCGTTTAGAGACGGTGAATACTAACAGGCTACGCGTGTTTCTACAGAGGTCCAGAGTTTGGCTAACAGGAGCACATTTGTTACGGGTGAGCTTTATGTTTATAAACTATAAGAAGTTGGTAGTTTGTTGTTGAAGCCATTTCCGTTTTTCAATAATGTAACTGCGTACAAGATACTGAGCTAGCCCTGCTAGTTAGCCCGCTAACTGCGTTAGCAGTAGCTGTTTTGCTTTGGTTAGCTAAACCCACAAAAATAAATGTTAGTCTTTGGTAAATAGAAGTAATTCTTCACATGGGCTGGAGTGTCTTAGAGAGTGTTATGCTGCACTTTAGCTCCTTAGGTAGGATCAAGAACGAGTTAAATTTTAAATGTGTTTAGTCGAATATTCGACTATCTCGCTTTGTAAAACAGTAAATATCAAGTAATATCAAATTCTTTCCCAACAGGAGCTAAGTTAGTTAAACATACAAATAAAGGCTGTCTTAATGATTCAGGGATGTCGTGGGACTTCTTTGTACCTGTGTGCGTGGGGGACCTTGTGAAGACTGGGGGGATCAACCAGTACGTCGTTCAGGATGTGGTCTCCGCAAAACAGCTCCCGTCCTGTCTCAACAGTAAGTTGTCAACATGTAGGCAGGTCACTGATAGTTTTTGGGGTTTTTTTGTTCTTTGGGGGGGTTATTTTTAATTTTTTTTTTTAAAACAAAATGTAGAACATCTGCACAGAAGGCATCGCATTTTCTTCAAACACCTCCAACAAGTCATTACCATCCAAGAATTGTCCCGCGCTAAGAATCTTTTTATTAACTTGTGTGTAACACCAACCTGCCAGAGGGTCGGCAGATGGAAATTAGCTAAAATTAACAAATAATTATAGTACTGGATTGCACCCAGCTTCTTATGTGTATATCACCATCCCCTAAAACAAACAGTCTCGACTTCAGTGATGGGTCGAGCCACCACTTAAGTCTCAGACACAATTATATAAATCTTTCCCAAGATTCCTGCTCATGTACCACACCCCCAAGTAAGGTTAATTAAAATACTTATGTACTTGCATTTTTTGTTTTGATTTTTTTACCCAAAATGACAAAATGTTGTCACTCTTCGAATACTTGGGGATGATTGTGCTAGTTTATTTATTCGTTTATTTTTTTTAATTCTGTTTCACACAGAATTCAAGGCAGCATTAAGGAGTCAGGGGCCTTTGTGTATACTAGAGCACTTCGACACTGGCTACAGTGTGCTGCAGTAAGTGTTTTCATGTATTGCCCACTTTTATTTATTGTGACTATTACTGTACAAAACAACTGTCTTTGTTTCTTTAGGCACTGTAAGGCGGTAGATCTGGCTGTTAAAGAAGATACTCTGGAATTACTAGTACAAGGTTGCTTTTTTTTTTTTTAAAAGAAATAATATTTTCTTGATGTTTAAATTGATAACTTTGATTTGTTGATGTGCTCACATAACCTGATTTTTTTTTTTTTTTTTTTTAAATAACCCTTGCCTTTCAGTGGTTAGTGGGCTGTCTGTTTCACTGCCGAGCATCCTTGTCTCCACCTCCCTGTCAGCTGCAGAGCGCAAGGAAAAACTTAACGCAGTTAAAATGAGCGTCTTCCTGCTTTGCAAACTCACAGAGAACCTGGAGAGTGATTCCTATAGGCAGAATATTGTCACAGCACCTGGGAAGGTATGCTCATTGCTTACTTAGCTAAAGGGTTCTTTGCATATGCCTGTTATCATAAATGTCCACTGATGAGCTTTAACTAGCTTTATGATTCAGTCAAACTAAGAGATTGAGTCTCTAGCCTGTTGTTATGTGGGTAGTCTTGGTTGTGTGGTAGAGTGTTATTGCACTGCTGTAAGGGCCCACCCAGAGTGAAATTGACACTTTCTATGCTGTGCCACTTCAAGAGAAATTGGGTAGTATAAGCAGGAGCTGTCAAACAATGTGTGGATGTTTGCCATTGTGTGCATAATGATCAGCTAGCAAGAGTCTATCAGTCTCTGTATAGTTGGTTTGGCTGGTGTGAATTGTTTTCTTTGGTAATCTGAGGACATGTATTGTGATTTACTTGATCTCAATACTATATTAAAGATTTTATAGTCCAACATCTATGAAGCTTAACTGCTCTTTTTATGTTGTACAGGGTGGTAAAAAAGGCAAAGCATGTGGAGAAGGACTTGTGCAGTGGGACTCAGAAAGAGAGCAGGTGCTACAGGCACTTGTGCAGCTCTTCCAATTGGACATCCGTTCACTGTGGAGCCTCTCCTTGGTGGAGGAAGAGTTCATCAGGTACTCTGCTGTCAGGAGAGCTCTGGCAGAGAATACAGTATCACGTTTTGCTGGTTTAATTCAGTTAGTTGGTGTCATTTACAACTTATCCATATCACTTCCGAGCATTCGGAACTCTGTAGCCTTAATTGGAACTCTTATGACAATGATGTGTGACTCTTCATTAATAATCTACAATTCTAATAAGGTTAGAAGAAATTTGGACTGTGGTAAATTGCCCAATGTAATGGTTTCGTTATGCACATTTCCTCACTTTCCACTTGTTTTATGGTTCTCAGTAAGGATATTCAGTAAATTGTTTGTCAGAAGACATTTATGTGGTAGTTTAACACTCACAACACTCCTAGCAGCACTTACCTCAGCTTTTAACATGCACTGTGTGTATCTGATGCTTCTGATGAATTCAAAACCTTGTCTACTACTCATTGTGGATTTTTGGTAACTTTTTATCCAGGTATTACCATAATCTAATATATAAAAAAACACACATTTATCTCTTCTTAGCTGTGTGACCTGCTGCTGCTACAAGCTCCTTGAGAACCCAACCATCAGCCATGTCAAGAGTAAACCCACCAGAGACTGTGTAATCCACCTCCTGGGGTTGCTGATTAAGAAATATAATCATCTCCTGGGTGAGTTGGTCAGACAAATGCAGTCCTATTACCGAGGAAACAAATTAATCCTGTCACTTTTGAGAATGTTGTCTGTAAATGGTGGTGGTGGGGGCCACTATAAGGTGTTCAGCTTTTCGGGAGACATAGCTGACTTGTAAGTTTGTTTGTTTTTTTTATTTGTCCTCTAAACTGTCACAGGTGCTGGTGTAAAAGTGATCCAGATGCTTCAACATTTTGAGCAGTTGTCATCAGTGTTTGCCCAGGCTGTGTCTGTGTGGAGCACAGAGTACGGAGTCAGAGCTATCATAGGAGAAGTCATACGGTCTGTACAATTTTTGTGTGTATACAGTATCCAGTATCCATTTCGTGAATCTGTTTGTGAAGTCTTATTTTGTGTTACAAATTTCTGTCTTTGTTTGTTTTTGTTTTTTTGTTGTTTTGTTTTTTTTTTTATCTCAGGGAGATTGGTCAGAAGTCAAGTGAGGAGTTGGCCAGAGAGGGGTCGGGAGTCAAAGCCTTTGCCTCCTTCCTCTCAGAAGTCAGTGCTTTGGTGCCTGAATTGATGATTCCCAACATCAGTGTTCTCATCACACACCTGGAAGGAGAGGTATGAGCACCGAACAGTGAGTAATTGATTGCAGCTCATGAATAAGAAAATTATTGTCCTTACATAAGTAGAGGCTGCCTGCCATATTGATTGGGTATAAACAATTGCTAATTAGAGGTCTATGTGATCATGTAAAACGGCACCAATTAATATTAATGACTCATCACAGTGACAGCCTTGATGTGTGAGCAACAGGGTTGCTCATTAAAGGAACTGTCCCTGTGTGAGCCCACAAGGAGTGGGCAGTTTTAAATCATCACAAACCTCTGCTCCTTGTGCTTCTTAAGTGCTTTTTTTTTAATGTCCTGTGTTGAGTTTTATGTAGTTTTGTTGGTCTAGGACAGACTGGGAAAGGATCCATTACACTTTGGTCAAGTTTGTTGCTTTTAAATGTGTTATAGAAATAAAATTGACGTTGACATCTACAATTCTTTTACAGTTGTCAAGATCCTGTCTTAGAAGTGGGTTGTCATTGGTTTTTGAAGTAATGTAAACACAAGATTAAAAAGGAATATAACAGTGTGGGATGAGCAAGCAGCATTCACTTTATTATTCTCTGCTATAGCCAGGAGACACTGTTTCTTGTATTTGGCTGGGTAACACACCACTGGGCACAATACATTTTTTTAAGACAAGACAAGGAAGGGTCTTTACAGCTCTAGTAAAATTTTATATAGTGCTTACATTACTCAGAGTAACAGGTAATGATTGGCTCAGATATTTACACTATTTTTCTCTGTTGCAATGGTCACTGTGTCAGATTCGGCAATTACAAAGTCATGAATCTTGCCTTTTTGTGACTGAGAGCCATGACAGACTGCACATTAATTCTCTTTCAGTCATGCTTCGTGTCTTTCACAGTGTACAAGATATTGTTGGAAGGTTGCTTGCTAGGGATTTACAGGAAAAGAATCTAAATAGACCTCTACATGATACTGGCTGTCTTCTGTCACTTCATACCTAGATACATTGGCAATGTCAGTCCTTTGTTTTTGTCATGATTTGTACCCAGTTGTGCAGTTGAAAGAAACCCACAAGGCATCGCAGGTGTAATGTCAGTTTTCATCCATTATAGTGCATTATGTGAGAGCACAGAGCATGTGTTACACCCATTTTGACCCTTGAAGACTCCCTTTTTCATTCACATTTGGTCATAATCATGTCTTTATCATATAGTCTAAATCTGCCATTGCATACTTCACGTCTGTTTTTACTGTTTCCAACTTTTCAGCAAAATACTGTTTCTCAGTTATTTCTAAGCTATCTAATGATTGTGTCCTAAAACTGCAAATTCAAGGGCATTTTTTATTTCAATCAAAGTACATTATCGTTAAAAGCAGAACAGAGTATTCTGCCCTGTGATGAGACCAAGGCGAATACGAGCTTACTGAATGAGAGTTGGGTTTCTCTTGCCTTGACTGGCAGGTAATCTTGGCAGTGCAGAGGAGGATTCCTGCTCTGCTGTAAGGGCCTGCCTACAGTGACTTGGCTCGACCCAAATTATTCCTCTGCAGTCACAGTGGAGTAATTTCTGGGTTGTCGCTGACAGCGTGTCTTATGGTTGTGCGTGTGCCTGCCCCCCCCCTTGCTCTCCCCGCTCCCCCGTGTCTGCCTCACGTGCTCCTGCCAGCCCTGCTCAGTTAAAAAAGGCAAGAAGTTCACCCAGCTTTCTTTACTGTTCAGTGAGCCATGAGTTTTGTCTTTGGTAATCTGAGGGCAGAGTTCTTAGTGAGGTTTTTCTGTTTTTGTAGGATTTAACAGATTGTTTCACTGAAATTCTTAATTTCCAACCTTTTTCATTTCTTTTTCCCAGAGTCACACAATGCGTGTTGCTGTCTGTGAGGTGCTGGGAGAGATCCTTGTGAGGGTCCTGTGCGGTGATGGGCTAGATGAGTCCGGTAGAGCTGACCGTGACCGTTTCTTTGACACACTGCAGGAGCATCTGCATGACTCGCACTCTCATGTCAGAACACGTGTACTGCAGGTCTACACACGCATCGTCAATAGCAAAGTAGGTTTGCTCATCAGCTATTGTGTTTGTAAAAGAATGCTGTTGCTCCTGGTAACATAAGTCATCTGTGTTTAGGCGCTGCCCCTGTGTCGGTATAGCGAGGTGATGGAGCTTGCTGTTGGACGGCTGATGGACAAATCTATAAATGTGGTTAAGAGTTCCATCCAACTGCTGGCTGCCTTCATAGCACACAATCCTTATAGCTGCAAGGTAAATAACTATGCGTCAAACTCTAAATAGCAGGTGTTCTTCAGGTTTCCTGATATAATAGAATATTTATCTTGTCTTTCAGCTGAGCAGTGCAGATCTGAAGAAACCACTGGAGAAGGAGACTTCTAAACTCAGAGAATTGAAAGAGAAACTGGAGGGGACAGCACCTGGTAAACAAAACCTGAGTGATTATTCACAAGTATTGCTATGAATCTCCCCTGATGTTTTATTTTATTATTTAAGACTAATTCACATTTTGCCCTGTGATGAGACCAAGGCGAATATGAGCTTGCTGAATGAGATCTGGGTTCCTCTTGCCTTGACTGGCAGGTAATCTTGGCAGTGCAGAGGAGGATTCCTGCTCTGCTGTAAGGGCCTGCCTACAGTGACTTGGCTCGACTTGAATTATTCCCTTAAAGTTATAGCGGAGTAACCACGAGGATGAAGCTCACAGTGTGTGTTTGTGTGTAAGGGGCAAGAAGTTCACCCAGCTCTCACTGCTGTTCAGTCAGCCATGAGCTGTTTCTTTGGTAATCTGAGGGCCAAGTTCAGAAATTCGCTTAAATTCAGCATGCCATGTATGTCATCACAAGCAAACAGAAAACAAACCATTGTCTCAGAATTTAAACATCTGTTAAGTGTGAGATCCAGTTATTAAACAAAATGTTTTTTTTTAAAGATGTCTTTCATCTGATGTAACAATATTCATGCTGAAAACAGAAATACGTTTTGTAATTGGTTTGATGAATAGCAATACAGCATAAATGATGAACTATAATATTTATTTTTAGATAAGTTGTTTGTTTGTTTTAAACTTTTGAAGAAATCTGTTCTTGTTTGTTTAATCTGTTTTTCACAATGGGGAAAAATATTAACTAGTTTACTACATTGCCAGAAATCAGAACATTTAAATTTTTTATTAGCTTTAGAAGAATGACAAGTTTAAATATGAGGACTCTGGAGCCCACCATTCCTTACTAAATTCTTGGCCTAAACAACAATCATCTTACCATTTTGTCCTGCTGCTAAATTATTCTGTTTTTAATCTCTGTTGGCACATTGTTGTACTTTTACTTTTTTCATTTTCTTTTTTTCACTCTTTCTCTTTGTAGGTCTAAGCTGAGTCATCACCATTGAATTTATTTTATTTTTTTCTCTTTCCCTCCCGGCAGTGGCAGTGATTAAAGCATCTGAGCTGTGGGCTGCTATGGTGCCTGAGCTCCTCGTCACTGTCAGGAAAGAACTGGAGCCCACAAGCGAAGAAGAGAAGGAGCAGCAGGAGGACGAGGAAGGCGGGGAGGTGGAGGAGGAAAAGGAGGCAGAAGACGACAGAGCAACCGCGGTGAAGATAGCTCAGTACCTCCGTGTCAACAAGTACAGGTGATGATAATCACCAGTGGAGGCCTGTGTAGTGTCACTAACTGGAGGATTTTTTTTTCTCCCTTGCTGTCAGTAGCCTACAATTTTCATTTTTTATTTATTTTTTTTAATGGGGCTTTTCTTTTGTGTTGCATTCTACAGGGATGCTGTGCAGCTCAGTATAAGAGCTCACAGCTGCTTCCCAGAATCTGAGATGTTTACTTCTCTGTCCACTCTCACACCTGAGAATATGATGGACACACTGGCTCTGATTTTCAAAGGTAAAAGTTGTACTCAGTGTGGCTGAAAATTGCTCTTCCTGGTGACATTTAATAGAAGTTGTATTGAGAACATAAACATGTTTTTTAATGTTTTTGTTTTGTCCCTGGGGGGTGTTTTTACAGCTGTCTCATTTGTAATGTGCACCATTCAGCCATGACATTAAAACCACTTAAGTGAATAACATCAGCTTTCTTTTTACAATGCAATATTTTGCTGGTTCCTAGCATACATTACTTTGGGAAGTACTCCCACCTGTTCACACATCATTGGCTCAGAAACTGCGTAAAGAACATGAAAAAGAACCCAGCATGTACACCATGACACCAAATGTCTTCATTTGCAGCATTCTTGTAACTCCATCTGCTGCAACTGGAAAAAAAACAACAACATTTTTTATTATTATTATGTAATTAAAGGTGAGAGGGTTTGCTATCGGTGGCCCTGTGCCAGACAATACAATATGTGCCCAGACTTCACACGCCTCGTCTTGAACCCATCCAAATTATTATTATTATTTTTAAAAAGGACTTGGAAAGTGGTAGGCAGTTCGGTTTTATGTTTTAATTTAGAACGTTTTTTTTTTTTTATCTCATACAGTTTCATAAACAGTTGAGCTGCAGTCAAACAATGTTTTAAACTTGGTTGATTGAACTCCCATTTGATCTTAAGTGTACAATACTTGACATTTTCCTCAGGCTCTGATGATGACACTTCTGAGCTCAACCACAATTTGCCACCGACGCCGCAGAAAGAACCAGAGAAAGAGGGTGAGGATGGTGAGCTGAAGAAGCAAGAGATGTTGGTGCAGTACCTGAAAGATACAGAAACCTTCGCTTTACAAGTAGAGAGAGCAATCTCTGTCATCAACACCATGCTGTACTGGAAAACAACTTCAGGTAGACGGCCGTATCCATTACACAGTAAACTAATGTAATCTTGTAGATTTCTGTAAAGTTTTTTAATCTAACAGAATCTTCAGCTGTTTTTTTTTTGTTTTTTGTTTTTTTTTTGTTTGTTTGTTTTTCTTTTAGTGGTCCAGGAGGCTGTGCAGTTTTGTGTGACGGTGTGCGAGTTCAGTGTCGCTAACTCTATCAGTGGAGTGAGGAAAATGTTGCCTCTGGTTTGGTCAACTGATGCTGCAATTAAAGATGCAGTCATTCACGCTTACAGGCGTCTGTATCTGAACCCCCAGGGAGACACCATCAGGTTTGTAAGACCTCACACATATTTGAGTTATGAATAAGTTACCCATTCTTTCATGTCCTAAGTGTACTGGCATTATGACGTTAAAAATAACTAAGCTAACACAAAATAAATGCTGGACGCTTCTCTAAGATGGTTAAGAATAGAAAGTATTGCTTCTAGAAAGACTTCTTCTTCCCTCCTTGAATTCTCTTTTCTTTTTTATCCAGTTCATGGTTGTGGGACTTTTCTGTTTGCATATTTATTTTAATCAAAACAAAGGACTGTTGTCCCTCTGATGTCATTTTCTGTAATCTTTTCATTAACAATTACAGTAGCATTAGGCTATTGCTGGTTTAATGTCACTGACTAAAGCACGACTCGTATAGCATTTAATAAATATAAATAAATAAAATGACTTGTCTGGCTTATATTGTTTGGACCATTTTTTAAAATCAAATTTTATTACATATTTTTTTAAGGCCTGGGCCAAAATTAATGGTAAATACAATATTGTGATTAAAGCAAAACCTTAAAAACAAGCATCTGTCTAATCCTTTTTTTAGGACGAAAGCCCAGACTCTTGTTGATAGTCTCTCTGAGCTGATGGTGGATGCATCTCTGGGAACAATCCAGTGTCTTGAGGAAATTGTAAGTGACTCTGTTATTACTCTCATGGATATTTCTGTGTGTGATGCTCGGCTGTAAAAACGCATCCTCTAATCCTGAAACATTAGTGTCTCCATGTTGAGGTATTTACGAGTATATACAAGTTGTTGTTTTGTTTTTTTGTTTTTTTACTGTAACTATTCAATCATGTCTCTATAGGTACAGGAGTTCTTCAGCAGTGGCAGCAGTCTCCAGTCCACTGTAGTTCAGGTCTTGTGGGAGAGATTTACTGGTAAACGAGAAACTTCTAGCTTATACAAGCGAGCTGCAGTCTTACTGCTGGGCATGGCTGCAAGGTGAGAGTTCCACTGCTCTACTCTAAATGAGCCCAAGGTGACTAGAGTCCCTGTAGTCCAGCAGTTATGTATATATACCGCATATATAGTTTTTGTTGTTAAGCCTATAAAGTGTAGTTATCACCTGTGGAATTGTGATCAGTCCTTGTTTTTACTTACTTTTTCATTCTGTCTATCTTATAATATGACCTTTTTTTTTGTATATAGTACTCTGTGCAACAGAGTACACGGGATGTCACCCAAAACGGTTATTGTGAGGTGTACAATAATTACCCATGGTGCTTTACAGCTTGTAAGAAGCTTCAAAAGCCTTACTTAATTAGACTTTACCTCATTTTTGTCTTCAAGATAATCATCTTGTGCTCCTCCAGACTGTTTACTGTGTGTTGCTTTTTATTTAGCTGTTTCCCCTTTTTCACATGTTGAATATCTTCTAGCTTGTAATATCGTAGATGGCATTTAGCTAGCATTCCATACCATATTTGGATGACAGGGTGGATTGCTAAAGCTGCCAAAGCTTTAGTCCTGGCAGCTCAACACTAGCGTTCTCTATCATAACACTTGTCAGTCAAAGAGGCCACACTCCTAACTGGTGTTTTATCCCAAAAAGTTCATGTTGAATCTGTTCATCTGGACCTTGTGTTTTAAAAAAAAAAAAAAAAAA